CTGAAACACTGCCCTTTCACTCTGGCTTTCCCTCTCTCCTCCACACTCTCTAAAAGTCAATGGGAAAATATTCTCATGTGAGGATAAAAAAGAAAGAAAGAAATGTCATATCCTATGAAAGAGACATCTTGAAAATGCCTAAAGAAAGTTGTCATTTTTTCGTGATGAAAGGACTGGAGTCCATGCTGATGAAAACACCTTGGCAGCTGCAGTGGCCAGCAGTGGCAGCAGCAATGGGGTTATGGGGTTGGCACCTTCCCCTGATCAACCCAGTGGCCTCCCACAGAGGGAGGCCAGACTCTGGCTTAGGACATCCCCTGAGGGCTCCTGGACTGTGAGAGGGGGCACACACACACACACACACACACACACACACACCCCCAGTGCACGAATTTCGTGCACCGGGCCCCTAGTATGCACTTATAAACCACCACAAAAAATGTTCCTAAGAACAAGACAGAATACAAATTAATATACCGATCAATAAAAAATGTATATACTTATTTCCACCTGCCCCATGAACACAGTAACCCCTTGTTACTTTTTTCACAGAAAGCTTACCTGGTATGGTCATTTGAGCCTGAGCAGAGGATATGTCCAAGAGGATGCCACGCCAGACTCCAGATCATTCCTTCGTGAGCCATCTCCATCCCGCCCACTTCCTTCTCTACCCTACAATAGCACCACAGAAAGAAGTCTTTTTTTTTAAATATATTTTATTGATTTTTTACAGAGAGGAAGTGAGAGATATAGAAAGTTAGAAACATCGATGAGAGAGAAGCATCGATCAGCTGCCTCCTGCACATCTCCTACTGGGGATGTGCCCGCAACCCAGGTACATGCCCTTGACCGGAATCGAACCTGGGACCTTTCAGTCCACAAGCCGACGCTCTATCCACTGAGCCAAACCGGTTTCGGCAGAAAGAAGTCTTTTTTACAAAAGTTATATATACATATAACTTTTATATATATATATTTAAAGACATTTTATTTTAGTGTAACATATAGCTACCAAAGCCTATTACTTTTAATCTGTCAATTTCACATGATATAGGGGCGCTGATTTGTCATCAATAACATTTTTTTAAAATGTGTTTTTATTGATTTCAGAGTGCGAGAGAGAGAGAGAGAGAAACATCAATGATGTTTCATTGATTGCCTGCCTCCTGCACACCTCCTACTGGGGATCAAGCCCACAACCTAGGCATGTGCCCTGACCGAGAATTGAAAATGACCTCCTGGTTCATACAGAGGTCAACACTCAACCAATGAACCACACCAGCTAGGGAAAATGCTTCAAAAATGATTTACCAATAAGAAACAAGAAAATCTATTTTATTTGCTCTTAATGACTTCTACATCCAAAAATAAATGTGCTCAGTTTTGTATTCCAAGCTCGGTTCCAGAATGGAAAGCTACAGGAAGTCTCCGACACAGAACATATGAACACTCAGAAAACATACAAACGGTGTCATGTTTTACACTTTCAGGTGCTCTCTTCAAACAATAGCAACTTCTTTATAATAAATGTTACATACCCAACATGCCAGAAGAGCAAAGAGCCATCGGACCCTCCACTGGCAAAAAGTCCTTCGTGAACAGGATGCCAGGCCACAGCTATAAAACAAAAACACAGGGAATGGCAAAATTATTAGGACCTCAGAACACCACAGGCAAGTCAGAAGGAGAAGTGTCTCTAAAAGCCACTGACCTGTGGCTTCTTTCTTATGACCTCGGAAGACTTGAAGCTCTTCTTTCAGGTTTCTGATATCAAAAAGTTTACAAAGATGGTCACGTGATGCTGTAAGTAGCCAATTGCCATTGAGATTTAATTTTACTTCCATCACTGTGTTTTTATGGGCATGACTAGAAACAAAGTACCAAGAAAATAATGTAAGAATTAAAAACAAATCTAAATCCATATAATGGCCATTTCTGTTGAAAAGCACATGGGTCAAGATGGCAAGAGGTTTAGCCTAGAAGCAATAAAGCATGAAGAAACAGCATTATAGGACCACAGTTAAAAGTACATTTGAAATAAATAGGTCAATGACAGAAATAATGTCTAGTATCTAAGCATTGCTTTCCTTAACCAGTTAAAATAGCAGCAGAGCTTCAAATGGATATAAAAGTTTATCTTTGAATCAGGGGAAGCATTGGAACATAGAAATTACTATTCAATAAAGCTCATTAAATTTTTTAACTTCAATGAACCTCCTCTCATTAAGACAAAGCATAAAAAAAGAGCATGGGATAGTGTGAGGGTTAATTTGAACTCAAGACACTGCCACAAGCCGAGGCCTGCACAGTGCACATCTTTACAGAGCACCACTGCCAAACACGCAGGTGGACTGCGGCCAATGGAGGTGTGCGCCACGGCAGCCTGCTCCAACCAGCTCACTCCCAATCACGAGGACCGGGACTCAGCTGCTTGGTCAAAACAATGTTAACAACATATTCATATCACTCTGCATGTTTACAGATAATTCAGAAAAAAATTTATTATGTAGCTGCATCATAAGTAAGCATCTCAGACAAAAAAATTGAGAACTGATTCAAAAATAGAGGAAAAACTTCTCTATAAATAGACATAGTGGTATGGAGAAAGCTGGGCTGTATGTCTAGTGAGGGGCATACACATCAACTCCACACAGTGCCAAGTGCATTATAGTGAGGAGAGACAGTAAGTCAGAATAGTAATAACCACCTCCTTCACAATCTCTTCCTCACCTTCCACTCCCATGATACCCAAGTTAAGTTTAGATAGCTGTGGCAGAGCATAAATCAAGCCGTATTTCATTAGGAATTCAGACATAAATCATATTTAATTAATAAGACAGCTATGGATACAAATCCATCTGTTGTCTAACCTACTTTTTCAAAAATACACGAGAGGAGAGAAAGCTAAAAGTTAAAAGAATACAGACAGCTTTGTTCCCTTTGTTCGGGGGACCAAGGTGAGGTTCCTATCACTTACAGTGTTGCAAGACTCTGCCCAGTCTTGGGATCCCAGAACTTGATTGGCTGTTGACTATCTTTACTTCCTGAAACAACTAACCCTTTTGTTGGATGCCAGTCTACACATTTCACATCAGCACCATGCCCTGTCGGAAACAAGTTAAGATAAAAACCTAATCAGTCATATATATTTAAAGCAAGATTCCATTCTAATTTGAACCAAAGTAGAAAAATCTATTAAGTGTTTTGATCATGGTGCTCTAAACTTTTTCAAGACTCTTCGGCCTCTGTGTCTGGGAGCCTGAAGGACACACAGCAGCCTCTCTCCCGCCAAGATGCACAGGAGCCACTCCTCTGCCCCCAGAGCCACTGTCATCCTCGAGCCAACTCGCCGAGTCTAGTCAAGGCTTCTTGGAGCTGCACCTCTCAAGCCCCGTATCTAAAGCTTTTTAGACTTTTCATGCTGCTCCTATGTTATCCTAATTATTAGGCACAATTCCTGTTCTTCACCTTAGTTCTCCCACTTGGCAGTAGTCCTTAAGACAAAAGTCCTAAATTCAGGTTTGGACATCACTTTCTGGTGTGATGACAGGAAAAGTATTCCCTTTTTCTGAACCCAGTCACTCAGATGCAGAAGGACAAAAACAATCCCTGCTTCATTCGCCCATGTCAGATGAAATGCTAACAGAAGATGCCCTACTAAGTAATTACTAAATGTTAGCAACATACTGAGCAATTGTAAGCATCACCTCTTAAAATCCTAACAAAATACCAAGGAAAGTATTATCATGATCTCCACTAGTGAAAAATGAGGAGGACTGGACAGGGTCAATAACATGTCCTAGATTCCAAAGCTAGTCAACAAGAACAAGCTGGGACCCCTGACCGGTTTGGCTCAGTGGATAGAGCGTCCGCCTGCGGACTGAAAGGTCCCAGGTTCGATTCCGGTCAAGGGCATATACCTTGGTTGCGGGCACATCCCCAGTAGGAGGTGAGCAGGAGGCAGCTGATCGATGTTTCTCTCGCATTGATGTTTCTAACTCTCTATCCCTCTCTCCCTTCCTCTCTGTAAAAAATCAATAAAATATATTTTTTAAAAAAAAGAACAAGCTGGGATCTGAACCTGGTCCACAGGGTCCCAGGGACAGTTCTCTTCACCACCGGGCTAGAAAATAAGGTCACCTCACAAATGTAAGACATTAACAAACATGAAAATGAAGATCTGTAAAACTGAAAGAAATGACCTTTGAAAAATTGGGTGCTTTACAAAGAGAGTTCCCAGAATATTTTACAGCAAAATACACTAAGAAGCAGGTGAAGAGAGAGGAAAAGATCATTGGAAACAGCTTCTTCTTCAACTGGGGTCAAATTCAGCTTCTATGAAGTTTTAGGTGTGAAGGAGGAAGGATATAGAAGAATAGAAAAACAGAAAGTAGAGAAGAAGAAAAAGATGGTTCTAGAGGCAATGGAAAGTGAATTTGCACTAATTCAGAAGCGCAGTAATTCACATCTCAAACAGACAATACCTCATGCTGGCAAGCATATAGGTAGATACCAACTATTTGGAGAATAGTTTAGCAATCTGTATCAAAAGCATGAAGAAAGTATATATCCTGTAACTCTGTAATTCCAAATCTCAGAACTTATCATAAGAAAATAATGGATAACCCTAGCCAGTTTGATTCAGTGAATAGAGCACTGGCCTACGAAGTGAAAGGTCCCAGGTTCAATTCCAGTCAAGGGCACATGCCCAGGGTTGTGGGCTCGATCTCCAGTGGGGGACTTGCAGGAGGCAGCCGATCCATGATTCTCTTTCATCATGGATGTTTCTATCTCTCCCTCTTCCTTCCTCTTTGAAATCAATAAAAATATATTTTAAAAACTAATAATAATGGATGTACACGTTATTTACGATACAGCTTATTTTCAAAATGCCCATGAATAGGCAACAAATACATCTATAATAATAAGAGGGCAATATGCTAATTAGACCAAATGTCCTTCCGGGCGTCATTCCGGACATCCTTCCGGAAGAAGCGGGGGCTGGAGTGAAGCGGCCCAGGTCCTGAGTGCTGGAGTGAAGCCAGTGCCAGCAGCCGTGGGAAGGAAGGCCTACTCTTGCACAAATTTTCATACAAAATAAAATTCAGTATGGCATATGTGCTCAATGGAATATGATGCACCTATCGTAAATGATACTATAGGTAATTAAATGACATTAAAATGTTCATGATACTAAGTTTATTTTAAAAACAAACATCTGCGTGTATAGCATTCCTGATGACATCACTGTAAAAGGCAAACAAGTTACTAACACAAGTGACTGCATATCCCCACAGACAGAAAAAAAGGCAAGTTACTGCCTTAGCTGATTTGGCTCAGTGGATAGAGCACTGGCCTGTGGGCTAAAGGACCCCGGGTTCAATTCCCGTCAAGGGCACATGCCTGGGATTGCAGGCTCAACCCCCAATAGGGATGTGCAGGAGACAGTTGATCAATGATTCCCATCACTGATGTTTCTCTCCCCCTCCCGCCCCCCCCGAAATCAATAGAAATATATTTAACAACAAAAAAAGGCAAGTTAGTAACAAGAGTGACTATGTATGCATATCCTCACAGAGGAAAAAAAAGGCAAGCTGTCTAGACATCAAACTGTTATCAGAATATTAAGCTGAGTAATGAAATTAAGGTGATTCTTACTCCTCTGTGTATGTTCTGTTTTTACATTTTGTATAATAAGTGTACATTATTTTGTAATAGGGATCTGAAGAAGAGAAAGGGGAAGAGAGGTTTGGTTGTTCCTTTGATTTTTTTAATTAAAAATAAAAAAGAACTGCCCAGCTAACGCAGCTCAGTGGTTGAGCATCGACCTATGAACCAGTTCGATTCCATGTTGGGGCACCTGCCCAGACTGCAGGCTCCATCTCCAGAGGGGTGCATGCATGAGGCAGCCAATCAATGATTCTCGCTCATCACTGATGTTTCTACCTCTCTCTCCATCTCCCTTCATCTCTGAAATCAATAAAAAATATGTTTAAAAAAAAGAACTGAGGATGGACAAATTAAATAGAAATACAATTCACTCCTCCAATCTACTGCTTGCCTTAAGAGCATTTAATGTTCTAACGATTTGATCCTAAAAAGATAAAGCTAGGAAATTTAAAAACTTTATGGACCAATATCATGTAAAATTAAATATATGTAGATATGTATCTATTTTCACCAAATTTGAGTGGAAAAAGCATAAGAAAGCACTTTTAAAATGTGATGCACTATGCAAAAGTTTATATTCTTAGCAGCCATCTCTACTCTCACCTTCTCTGGGACATTTTCATGTCATAAAGAGAGTATATCTGTTTAGTTTAAACAAGTATATACAAAAACTATCACTCCATAAAAAGGAACATTAATATTTTTCGCTGCTTTAGTTTTGTTTCCTGAAGTTTTCTAAAATGTATTTAAGTAGAATTCAAGCAAGTGATGAATCCCACCCATCCTTTTCTGTTAAATAAATTTACCCATATCCATATATCACTACTAGAAATCAAATTACACTGGTTGTTGTTGATTATTTTATTAGTCACAGTCCTTAATAATAAAAATACTACTACTAGCAAACACATATACTTCTTATGTACAGTACTATTCTAAGCAAAGTATATATACTGCCTTACCATCTTCGTAAGAAGTGTACAAAGTACAGACAGGTTAAATACCTTGCCCACGCATAGGTAGGGAGTGAGGGGGCAATAAGGCGATAAGGACACATACGTAATACCCTTATCAATAATAAAAAAAAAATACCTTGCCCACAATCACACAGTTGATACGTGGCAGAGCAGACATCTGCATGTAAGGAGTCACTGCTCCTAACACCGAGTCTATACCGCCTTCTTAGATGTGAAAGGTTAGTCTGCGACTTACAGGAGGAAAAGGAAACAAAAGCATATGCCATCTGACTTGCTTCTATGATGCATAAAGATTCATTGAAGGGTGTGCACAGCAGGCAGGGAACTAGGATAGAAGGGGTACTATTCAAGCCTTTCATTATTTTATTATTGAACCATGAGCATATAGTTATCTACTTTTTAAAAGTTAAAATACAAATAAAGTTATCTAAGAAAATATGTGCAAAAAAGGATGTGTCGCATACTTAACATTTGTGGCTTGAAAAGAGACACACACCCAAAAAGCACACAGATACATTTGCTCAAAAATGCACAAAGTATGTCTTTAAAAGTACACAAAAATCTGACAATATGCCCTAACCAGTTTGGCTCAGTGGATAGGGCGTCGGCCTGCGGACTGAAAGGTCCCAGGTTCGATTCCAGTCAAGGGCCTGTACCTTGGTTGCAGGCACATCCCCAGTAGGAGGTGTGCAGGAGGCAGCTGATCAATGTTTCTCTCTCATCGATGTTTCTAACTCTCTATCCCTCTCCCTTCCTCTCTGTAAAAAATCAATAAAATATATTTTTTTAAAAATCTGACAATATTAATTGCCTCCAAGAAGGGGAACTGAGTAGCGGGGGAACGAGAGTAAGGTGTCTTCACTGTATAATGTTTGGTAATTTTAAAATATTAAAAAATGTGAATAATCTATTGAGAAAAAAAATCAATTTAAAATTTTAATTTACTAAACAGTGGAAAGTGGGTATGAAATCTTTCAGGTAGCATATATTTTTGTAACTTTTTAAAAAATAAAAAAGAGGTTGGACGGACTTAGAGGATATTATGCTAAGAAAAATAAGTCACAAAGAAAAAGACAAAACCTATATAATTTCACGTGTGTGTGTGTGTGTGTGTGTGTGTAAATCTAAAAACCAAAATAGATGAACATACAAAACAGAAACAAACTCACAGATGCATAGAACTAATGATCACCAGATGGGGGTGTGGAGAGGGTGAAGAAATGGGCCAGAAACGGTGAAAGGAGTCAGTAGAACAAATTGCCAGTTATAAAAATAGTCACAATGATGTAAAGTACAGCACAGGGAATAAGGGTGACTGGTACTGTAAGAGCTATGTACTAGCATAGTGCCAGGTGGGTACTAAACTTCGTAAGGTATACAAATGTCTAACCACTGGACTCTACAATTGAAACTAATATATTGTATGTCAGCTATAACTTTTTAAAAATGAAAAACAA